ATAAGATCCAGACAGAAACAATCCCAGAAATTTTCCAAGTCTAGACAAAGGAAAAGTAATCAGTATATTGAAGAGGCATCAGTTTTCTTGTGTTCGTTCATTGCGCCGTAATCCACAATAATCAAGAAAGGAAACAACTTGTGTCCTACAACAGTGGACACGTTACATGCAAAGCACGCTTAGATATGCTTTTGTATTGACTAGGAATCATGAGTGAATAGAGAGAATTCAGTACTTATACAGAACCGGATATTATGTAATCTTTAAAAAGAAAGGAAATTCTGTCCTTTGTGACAACATGGGTGGAACCAGAGGATCCTAAATTGGGTGAAATAAGTCAGGTTTATTTCAGAAGACAAATACCATATTATTTCACACATGTAGAATCTCAAAAATTGAAACTTGTAGAACTAGGAAACGAAATGGTATTTACCTTAGGCAGAGAGGCAGAGGAGGCGAGGAAGAAAGGGAAATGTTGCTCAAAGACATATTCGGTCTGATTGGGGTTTAAAGATCTAGTGCATTCTGGCCAGAATTATTGTACTGCTTACTTCAAAACTACTTTTTTCCCCCAGATCAAATAAACTTTCTTATAAAAAAAACTCAAAAATCAACACAATGTCAGCAATTGTAAATGTGAGCTCAGTATCACATGAAGAGAAGAGAGTAAGAAAGGCTAAGTAGAAGGGGCCAAGGAAGAGGCGGATGCAGGGAATGGACATGAGTCATGAAAGAATATACAAAGGTACTTGGAGGTGCTGCCTGACTTACAGACAGTCACCTCACCATGTCCTCACTCATAGTCTTACTTCTATGTGCATTCATATTGGTGTGGTGACCCAATTACTTCTTTTTTGATATTTTTAATTTTTTATTTAAAAAATTATTTTCATTTATTTTATATACCAACCAGTTTCCCATCCCTTCCCTTCTCCTCCCCTTTCCCATCTAGCTCCCTTCCCAACTACTCCTCCTCCACCTCCACTCAGAAAAAAGCAGGCTCTCCATGAGCTTGCACAAAAAAAATGACCCATCAAGATGAGGCAAGGGCCAGGTAATCCAGCATGGGGATAGGTTACCAAAAGCCAGCTAAGTGCTCTCATTGTTAGAAGCCTTACTAAGAGACCAAGCTACACGATTGTCACACACATGCAAGGGCCTAGGTGGGTCTCATGCAGGTTCCTTGACTGTTGGTCCAGCCTCCATGACCTCCTGCGAGCTCAGGTCTGCTGTCTCTGTGAGTTCCCCCATCATTACCTCCCTGGCTCATACAACCCGTCTTCCCTTTCTTCCACAAGACTCTCAGAGCTCAGCACAGTGCTTGTCTGTGGATCTTTACCTCTGCTTTCATCAGTTACTAGATAGAGTATCTCTGATGGCAACTATTGAAGTTACCAATCTGCTTCCAGTAAATGGCCAGTTCAGGCACCTTCTCCACTATTGCTAAAAGTCTTAGTTGGGGTCATCCATGTAGTATTCTTCCCTTATTCTGTATGTTTAGTGTTTTGATTTTTATGTGGCAAGGGTACTTTTTTTTTGTTCCAGTCTATTTTGTGTTCTGTAAGCTTCTTGTATCTTCATAGGCATGTCCTTATTTAGGTTGGGAAAGTTATCCACGATTTTGTTGAATATATTTTCTGTGCCTCTTAGCTGCAATTCTTCTCCTTCTTCTATCCCTATTACTCTTAGCTTTGGTATTTTCATGGTGTCCCATATTTCCTGGATGTTTTGTGTTAAGAATTTGTTGGATTCATCATTTTCTTTGGCCAATGAATCTATTTCCTCTAGGGGCTGCTGATCTTGCAGGGGATGCTTGGCCAGGGGGAGTGTGATAGATTCAGTGGGTTTGGGTAGCTGGGTGGGTCTTGTAGGTTATAGTGGTCAAGGGGAGGTGGGCAGTGGTAGAGCAACCTTCAAGAAGAACTCTTAACTGCTGTTTGTCTGCAACTGCTGAGATGGAAGGGGGAGGGCAAGGAATATGCCCTGGAGTTTAGGGCCTAGAGATTGGGGCTGTTTATCTGGGAGACAGGTCACTCACCTGATGATGCAGGTGTTGTTTGTGTCTCTAGGGGCTGCTGATCGTGTAGGGTGATATTTGGCCAAGGGGAGGGTGATGGGTTCAATGGGTTTGCGCAGCAGTGGTAAAGCAACCTGTAAGAAGGACTCTTACCTGCTGGTTGCCTGCTGGTGCTCAGATGGGAGGGGTTGGTCAAGGAATCTGCCCTGGAGCAGGCCTGGCTGAGACTTTGGGGATGTTTATCTGGGAGACTCACCTGCTCTTTCAACTGGTGCAGGTGTTGTTTGTGTCTCAAAGGGCTGCTGATCTTGTTGGGGATATTTGGCCAGGGGAGGGTGATGGGTTCCGTGGGTTTGGGCGGCTGAGTGGGTCTTGTAGGGTACAATGATCAATGGGCGGCGGTGGAGGAGCAGTCTCCCCAGTTACTTCTTATAAAGACTTCAGTCATAGGGGACTCAGGCTTGCCCTAGAGAACCCTTTATGAATGTCTACCTATCTTCTAAAGACTTTACACAAGTGTGGTTAAATTCTGGTATACTAGAACATGTGAACACAGAGTGTTCTGGGGTGGGGTTAATATAATTCAACCCACAGTGACCATTTACTTGTTTTGTTTTCTTTTCATCACGATATTTTGCTTTGACTTCTTTTTTCTTAGCTCCTGAATTTGCCATACGCTCATTATTCTGCTTTCCAAAACTACGGTATTCTGAATGATTTTTGTTCTCTTTGTAGTAGTAGTCATCATTGTAGTAGTTTGGGGGCTGGAGTTGAACCCAGAACCTTGTTGAGGCTAAATACGCACTTTTCCATTGACCTCCAGCTCAGGCCTTTTCTTGTTCTTGATGATTAATAGAGATTGTCTTATATGAAACTGAAAAGTTTATGAAGTCTTCCAGGCCAGTATTATTACCATCTCCAAAGCTGAGGAAAACATATTAAGACAAAATAATGGGTGAAGTATATATCATATACATTCAGGGTCTTCTGACTCCAAGTCTAGGGTTCTAGCTGCTAGATTAACTGTGTAAAAAAGCACCTTAGCCCAAATAGCAATATTCCCGTTGATTAAGTACACTGTAGCCTCTCACTCCCAGTTCAAATGTGGAAGCCAGAGCTGTCCTCATCCTTACTAAAACTTTTCTCCTTGGGTGGGAAAACTGTTTGATCACACCAAACTAGCCCATTTTCCCGTTATTTCTCATGGAGGAATTTAAAGTAAAAATATTTGAATCTTTTGGTGGCAGGGAAAAACAGTAACTTTGACACATATTAACTGAATCTGTGTTTATTTTAAACTGTAGTCTAGGCTTTTGACACATAGTGAAATTAATTACCTTGGAAGTATCTTGATGAGATTGTAAACTAGCAGAAGCCATCTCACTGGTGGGCATTGACTGACTGGTTACATATACAATAATTATTGGATAAGCACAGTGAGGAGCGGGGAAGCCAGGGAATGCACCACCGTTAACACAGGCAGACTGGACTGAATGCACTGATAGGTAAAAAGGAATCGTGCACATTACATGTGTACTTGGAGTAACTATCATGGTGCCAGACTGATAAGTATGGTGGGCTGTCTTTAGCTCTAGCACAGTTTTAAGTAGCTGGTTATTCCTAAATTTGCCTAAAATCTATCGTGCTGCCAGAATTTCAGTGTAAGGAACTTTAAATATGAGGACAGAAATATTGAGATCTCAGACTCCAGATCAGCTTACTGGTAGGCGAACCAAGTATTGGGACACACATATCATTCCAGTCCCTAGTCTCATCACTGCTCTTAAAGCTAGGGTAAACCCGACAGCGATCAATTAGATTGGTTGCTAAGCAAGCTCCAGTATTTTTCAAGGAAAAAACTAGAAATATACAAAAAAAAAATTGGTGTGTATTTGTATGTTTGTGGGAGTGCAGGTGGCCAATGGCACTATGAAGTGCCTGCGGAGGTGAGAGGGCAACTTCCACCACATGAGACTGTGAGGCCTGGGAATCAAACTCGGGCCTTCAGGCTTGGCAGCAGATGCCTTAACCTGCCGAGCCACCTTACCTGCCTGAGACTAGACTTTGAAGTAGAAATGATGAGGGAGTCTAGAGAATAGGTAGAAAGGATGGCGGAAGAAAGAGAAGGAGGTGACCTGAAGGCTCAACTGTCAGGAAGGCGAATGATTAACAGAAGACGGGCAAGGGGCAAGCTGACTCGACTGTTTCATTTTGTTTTATTGGTTGGGGTCTAGGTTAATGGAACTAGGCAGATTTAAAACTTAGAAGAGTGGTCTCCGCAGTTTGGAATTAGTGTAGCATAGTGGTGAAGAGATTCGCCTCGCTTTACCATTTCCTTGTTCATAATCTTCACGGACCTCGTGGAGTAGCGCTGACGGTACAGCGAGTTCAAAGCACAGCGCGTAATAGTAGGTAAAATGTTAAGTGCTGTGTTTGTAGTTGTTCTTCTCTTCCCTAATATTCTGTACTCTAATAGAAAGGAGACACGGTGCACACATTCCAGATCATTTTAAGAGTGATGAACAATTAGTTGTATGTGTGCCTGGATCAGGTTTATTTCGAGTTTTGGGCCCCACTGAGGTAATGAGACATCTCTTTCTCAGTACCTCCTTTGCTTGCTCTCTGGAGTGACTTCGAAGAGGCTGGCAGGGTGCTCTTGGTAACTTCCTTGGATAAGTCCATGCTCTGCTGTCCCTTGATACTTGACAGTTTTCACTTCTGCCTCTTGGACATTAGAAGCCATGCGGGCTCACACCCAAGTGTCCTGGTTTCAAAGGCTCCCAGGCCACTTGGCAGTCATCCTGCTTCCGGGCCCAGCTTTGCCTCCCTCTTTGGCTGTGTGTTTAACTCGGACCCCACACACAGTCCTAGCCCCAGCCTCCACGCAGGCGCCGGCAGGGCCACCCCTGCCGCCATGTTTCCCCCGCCCACGCACTCCCCTCCCACCACTCTCCCTCCAGTCCCCAGCTGGGCTCCCGCTCCCCTCCCTTATCCCCCACCCCCTGGTGAGGTCAGGCGGAGGCTCTGCCGCTGCAGCCGCGGCAGCTCAGCTCCTATTCCCAGGCAGCCTGGAAGAGGGACTTTGGCAAATAACCGGAGCGGCGTTCGGGTTAGGGTAAGCGCTCTCCCTCTGCCCGAAGATCTGGAGAAGTGGCCAGGGCGACTAGGGGGTGCAGCGGTGCGGGAGTCTGTGCCTCGCGACAGAAGGGGACCCGGGCTGCACTGCGCGATTCCCTCTTTGGCCCTCGGGAGCGCAGCTGCCCGCGGAGGGGCGGCTGGGTGCAGGGACTCAGCCATCAAGGTGAGGCGGGACCCTGAAGTCCCAGGGGCTCCACGGGCTTCCCCACCCTCCGCACCCGCGGTGCGCGGCACGGAGTTGGGATCTGCGCGGGGAACTGCGAGGTGGGGAACCAGCTCCTCTCTTTGCCCACCCGGGTTTTCAGCCCCGCGCTATCGCGCGCTCAGAGCTCCGCACCTTTGCACTTTGCAGGTCCCTTTGGCTCTACCAGAAGGGTGGGTACTTCTAGGACCCCAGTCAGAACTCAGTTTTCCTGGGCTTCTTTGTCATCCTTCCAAGGTCTTCTCTGGTTTTTCCTTGTCGCTGCCGTGATCCTCTGGGGTTCCTCTGTCAACCTCAGCCTCACAGTCTCTCGTCCTCTAACAGTTTCTACTTTGTGCTTCCTAAACCATCCCGCTTTCAGAATTTTGAGAGACTCCACCGCTGGCTCCCCAGTTGAGAACACTTTTTTCCCTCCAAGCTTTTTAACTTAGTTCTGAATGTCTTCAATTGTGAATGCCTTGGCTCTTTTCACCCCCTTTTAAAACTCCCATTTGATGATTTATTTTCTTGGAGTCTTACAGGGTTCAAACCTATCATTTACAGAAAAAAAATGGAACAAATTTCTTTATTAAATATCATTTAAGAAGCATCTGTTGAGGAACTTGAGAGGTTTCTTTCTAGGTTTTAATAACTTAGTCCAAACACCAGTCACGTAAAATGTGTGTATATATGTTTGGATGAAATGTTTGTACGCGGCCCTAAACCTTCCTGGCAGTGGAGCAGGCCAGATTAAAGAGGGTCTGGTGGGGTTTGTAACCCTGCCTCCATTTCTCCATCTATAAATTAGGATGCTCAGCATTTAAGTGTAGTTGGAGGATGACCATAGAGATTTGGAGCGAGTCACTCAGGTTAGTCACTAAGCACATTGAATGGGCACTGAGAAGCTTTGGAGTCTAAAACTAGCTACCTCTGTTGGGAGGGGACCTGCCTTTTAAAGAGAAGCCACGGTTTCATATGGTACCATTTGGAAGCTCCTGGTTCTTTCAAAACAACCAGACAAAACCAAGCCCCCCACTTTTTTAGCCATTTCACTTTCTTCCCATGCTGTTGCCATGTTAGTTCCTGCGCTGAGGTGCCTTTGCTCGCTTCCATGCTGTAATTAGTGTGGGGAAATTGAATGGAGAAGCCCAAAGTGGAGGCCGATCCCCGTGAACGAGCACATGCTGACGTGTGCAACCGTGCTTCTAGAGAGAGGTTTTAGCTAGTGCTCAAACTTGAAAACTGAGCAAAATGAGCTAAAGAGCCGTGACATCATTCTGTATCTAAAAACATTAGCCCCCTTGGCCACAAGTCCTTATTAATACCCTTACACTTACCAGTGATTGATATGTTTGCTTAATGTGTGACCAGGTGCTGGCCCTGCCTCAACAGTTCACTAATTAGCAGCAGTTTCGGAAGCAAAGCAAGTTGCCCATGAAGATGGTGACAGCATTTCCCTCTCCTGGTAGCACTTAAGTTTGGTCGTGAGGCAATGAATGAGAAGAGCTTCTGCTGCAGTATCAAATGAAGCATTTGGAAGTAGACAAGAACTTCAAATGCTCAGTATTTTTAAGTTGCCATCTTTATTAGCAAAATTTAAAATGTGTGGTGTGGTTCTGTCAGTTTTAGTCAATGTTTTGAAGTAATTTTCAGAAGAGCGTAGAGGCTATCAATGATTAGGTTAGTTAGGTAACTTGCTGCAGATACTTCCTTTTGCAATGAATTTCTAGAATTTACTTTAGTTCTAGTAAAACTTGGAAGGTGATAGAGGAAAGGGTACTTACCCTAGTAGGCCCACCATGTTCATTTTTTTTGCAGCCCATTTTTGAGACATACATTTTACTTGTTTCCCTTTGAGATTATTATTCTTAAGCCTAAACTAAGATTATCACTGGTGTGACTTTCTAATTGAAAAGTATTCCTTTTTTTGGCCTGGAAGATAAAGAAAATTTGTGGGTGTGAGTTAGCCATAAGCATTTTTTCTCTGCATTTTCAATATTTGGCAGATTGTTTGATATACTTAGCGATTATCATACTGAATGTTTCTCTTTCCTTTTAAAAAAAATGAAAAAAGAGTCTCACGTGGCTCATACTTGGCCTCTGGCTTGGTATGTAGTTGAGGGAGAACGTGTGACCCTCTGATCTTCAGCTACTCGGTGCTTGGGTTACATACCACAGAACCAGCTCAGACTAAAAGGATCATTTCTGATTTTACTAAAGCTAACTTCAGGTTCTGCTACTATTCCCCTTTTATATTATATTCATTAATTTGATCTGCAGTACTGAAATGAGATTAACCTACATATTCAAATTGCTTAATTTGTGATGTTTAATATATTATTAAAACCTTTTCTGCAGTTTGTTTCTGGTGTAATTCTACTGTTTACTTCTGTAAACTAGTATAACGATTTGGCAAAAAAAATCACATTTTAAAGAAGCATAGAAAGTGTGAAAAACTAAACAGCTCTAGAGTAAGCTTTTCACAAATAGAGAAAATGGTTTTCTCAGAATGAGAGATATTTATAGCGATGAAGTTTTTAAGTATTACTAATTAATTTAGTATTTCATGGTATAAAATCAGTTTAATGTCTTCCATGTGCCAAGGCTCTATATAGTAGGCATAGTGGAAAAACTAGTAAGCCTGAGTCCTTATAGATTGTAAAAAGAGCAAGAAATAAAATACAAAGACTGTAAAAAACTAGAAAACACCTAGTTTCACAAGGGCGGTGCATGCTAGTGAATGCTGGTTGGCAATTTACCTGGACTAAAAAATCTAGCTAGTCCGGAGTTTGGGTGTGTCTGTGAGGGCGGTCCTGAGATTAATATATGAATCTGAGTGGACGCCACAGGAAAGATCTGCCCTCCGGGTGGGTGGGTACCATCCAATTGGCTGCAGAGAACACGTACAGAAGGCGGGTTGCTCTCTCCCACACTTAGGAGAGACACTCTTTCCCCTGCTATCTTGGACATCGGAACTCCGGAACTCCGGGCTCCTTTGCCTTTGGACTGAGGCTCCACTCTTAACCTGTGGCCCCTTAGGTTCTCAGGTTTTTTGGTCTCCATTAAACTGAGAGTTTCTCCGTTGGCTTCCTCAGTTCTGAGGCCTTGAGACGGAGTCTGAGCTCTACCCCAGCATCCCTTGGTATCCAGTTTTCAGACAGACTGCTGTCGGACGTCTCTGTTGTCGCGATTTGGTAAGTCAATTCCCGTAGTATATCTCCCCTCCCAGAACTACATGAATCCCCTATGTGTTCTGTGTCTCCCTGTGGAGAACTCCGGCAACTCTGGCAACTCTATCACTTCTTAGAGAAGAGGTGGTTTTTGAGTACAGCCCTAAAGAGAAGAGAGAATGCTTTTAGTTTCTCAAGAACTGGGAACAAGCTGGGCCTGGTGGTGCGTGCCTTTAATTCCAGCACTCTGGGGACAACAGGAGGCCGGACCCCGTGTGTTTGAAGCCAGCCTGGCCTATAGAGCTAGGGAGGTTCAGGACAGCCAGGGCTACACTGTTGAGTTCTGTCTCTTAAAAAAAAAAATCTGGGTTGCCAGGTGGTGGTGGCGCATGCTTTTAATCCTAGCATTTGAAAGGCAGAGGCAGGCTTATCGCAGTGAGTTCGAGGCCGGCCTGGTCTACAAGAGTTAGTTCCGGGACAGGCTCCAAAGCTACAGAGAGTTACCCTGTCTCAAAAAACAAACAAAAAAGTTGGGAACACATTCTCCGGGGAAAATTCAGACGTAGGATTCACGAAGAACAGAAAAGACAGTGTGGCAAGGTCTTTAGCAAGGTGGACCAGAGAGTGTTAGAGATAATAGATACATACGTAGAGTTTGGAAGCCCTCAGAAAGAATTTGAATTTGGTTGTCAGAACAATGGGAAGCCATTAGGGAATCTGAAATTATTGGCTGAAAAAAAACATGTTTTTCAGAGCATTAAACTGAATGCCTGGCCCAGTCATTTACGTTAATACTCAAGAATGAAAACTCTGGTAAATTCGCTAACTAGCAGTGCTTTTGTTTTTCTACTCTGTTTACAAAGGGACTAGGGAACTAGAAACTCCAGGGCCCGAACAAAGCCTGTTCAAAGCAGGCCTAGCAGTCTGCTTGCCTCCGGCAAATTTTTACCTGTGTTGCAAGGTAAGTTGTCAACAACTTTGCAAAATCCCAGCTTGTCCAGGCCTTACAGCGCACATACCTCTCATTTCAGCACTTGGGAGGCAGAGGCAGACAGATCCTTGAGTTCTAGGGCAAAGGCTACTCAGGCAGATCTCTGAAAACAACAAAACAGAGCCGAAGTCGGAAAAAAAAAAAACATCACTGCAGCATACAGATCTTGAATTTGTTTTTCCAGGACCGATCTGTTAATTTCTTACACATATCCTTCTTTTGGAAGGCTGGAAGTTCCTTTTGTGTACAAAAGAATCACTTCGATTTTAGAAACGTTGTTTGGAGATTTGTTATTCCCTTTAAGAAATTGCTTCTCTAACATTTCCGTATCACCATAGATTTACACTTTGAGTTTAGAATTGTCTTAAGGTCTGAGCCTTTAGTTGAAAGCCATCCAGATTTTATTTTATTTTTGGTCCCAAGTAGGACTTAGTATGGTTATTAACATCTCCTAAGAGCCAAAGCTGGTGTTGTAGGACATAGTTCTTGTAAAATGACCTCTAGCACCTCCTGCAGGTTCAAATTCCAATGTCTTAACTGAGCAAGCCCAGATCTTCATGACTTGACTCTATAGAATTTTTCCAACATTTTTATTATGCTAGTACAAATTTCTGTTGGTTCCACCTGTTTTTTTTCAAATATTACACTTTTGCATTTAGCATTATTTCTGGTTTAGCATTATTTCCACTATAGGAAGCCATGCCATGTAACTCTTTTTTTTTTAATTATTTTTCTCTGTCCTTTCAAATCTCAATACTATTCAGGGACCAGCTTAAATAACAGGCCCTGTTGCACCATCTGCTATTGTAAATAGCCTCCTTTCCTTTGAAACTGAAGAGTAGTTCCAAACTTGTCCCATTGGGTCATCTTTACGCTTTTGTGATAACCTGGCTGCTGGCTCTGTGAAGGTGACCTGGACCTCATCTGGTTTGCCAGTTGTTGGCATCCCAAGCACTGGGCCCATGATGTCCTTTCTAGTTACTTAATAATGAAAAAATGCTGCCCTGTGAATGTTCTCATGTTATGTTAATATAGCGCATCATTTAATACTGCATATCTCTCTGGTATTCTAAAACATTCTATGGGGGAGTTTATTTATGAAGGATAGTTGTTGAGAACATAAACACTGTAGCTAGGCAGCTTGGATTCTGATTTTCTCTAGGATACTTAGTAGCTGAGGGATGTGGAGTGAGGGAGTAGCATAAACATACCGCAGTTGCCTCATCATTTAAGTAAAGTAAACTAAACTTACCCCTTTTAGTATTTTATTTTATTTTTCTGATTTTATTTTTTTATTTTTTTTCCATGTTTTAAGTATCATTTTTTTTAATTTATTTATTTATTAAAGATTTCTGTCTCTTCCCCGCCAACGCCTCCCATTCCCCCCCCCCCCCAGTTAGGTACCCCCCCCCATCAGCCCGAAGAGCAATCAGGGTTCCCTGCCCTGTGGGAAGTCCAAGGAACCCCCACCTCCATCCAGGTCTAGTAAGTTGAGCATCCAAACTGCCTAGGCTCCCACAAAGCCAGTACGTGCAGTAGGATCAGAAACCCAGTGCCCTTTTAGTATTTTAAATGAATTGGCTAGACCCACAATTAGTTTGAAAAATTCAGACTTCCAAAGCTCTGGAAATTGATAAAAATTTCATTGGGTAAGTTAGGTATCAAAACTCAAGTGGTAACAAAATACAGTTTGAAAATATCAAAGTCCCTTTTCTCCTTAGTAGTCATCTTTATTTATATTTATTGTAAAATTTATAATAGGCTTATGGAATAGTGCCACAGACCCTCGTGGAGTATTACATAATATACACTAATACAAGCTTTGGCCCATCTGAAAAGCTGGACACTTCTGAACTGGGATTCCATCTGGCACTGAGGTTTTGAGATAAGAGACTGTACCCCTTGCCTCCTTACAGGCAAGTGCTTCAAGCACGGCTTTGCACATATTAATAGTAAGCTGTTGCTGTGGGTGCTGGAGATTAGGGAGGTAAATAAATTACTTTATCTTCTCAGTGCCTTGCTCATAATGGTTACCATGTAAATGGTTACCGTATGAATACACACTGATGTAGTCACGCAACTTTCAATAAGGAGGGCTGTCTGTCTGCTCCTTATATCAGAAGAAAGCAGATAGAGCAGGGCGAAAACAGCTGAAACTAGCTCAAACCCTGGTCTGTCGGTACTGGTACTTGGTGCTCCATCTTGTAAGACCATATTTATAGTGTATTTTTGTGCTTCTTTTGCTATTTAAACTGCCTATGGTTTTTTATCATAAGAGACCCTTTTATGTGTGTGTGTGGGTCAGTTAATATGTATTTGTTCTGATGATATACTTACTTTTGAAATTAGTAAACATTTATTCCATTCATAATTTATCTTAAGAATCTGTATTAAAAACAGAAGGAAGGTATCAGACAAAAGAGACATAATCCCTAGCCTTTAGTAATTCCAAAACCATTCATATTTACATAGGATCATGAGTGTTCAGTATAATTCTTGATTTTTTATCTTTAAATTTAAATTAATATTAAAGCATGCAAAATATAACCTAAGAGTCAACTGTTAACTGACCTTGGTATCTATTACATGGATTTCTTTAATATTACTTCCTTCTCTCATTACCTAATATCTTGGCAGCCATTTTATTCCAACTTGACTATAAAAGAAAACCACCTAGTTTTAAATTAAAGATTGTCTTCATCACTATTTGCCAATCATAATTGGTATATTTTATGCATACTTTCACTTTTGTGAAGTATCTATAATCCTGTATCTCAGTGGACTTTTTTTCTGGAAGTTTTTAGTTAAGATGGAGCCCTTCATGCCATCTTCAAATTCCTATTCTTTTTGGCTTTATTTGAGACAGGGCTTCTCTGTGTAGCTGCCCTGAATGTCCTCGAATTGCTTCTGTAGCCAAATTTGGCCTTGAATTCAGAAATCCTCCTGCCTCTGCCTCTTGAGTGCTGGGATTATAAAGCATGTGCCACCACAGCTTGGCACCCTGTTATTCTTCAGTTTGGTCTTTTCATAGTATCCCAGATTTCCTAGATGTTTTGTGTCAGGAATTTTTTATATTTAATGTTTTTTTGACTAATATATCTGTGTCTTCTGTTGTTATCTTCTACACCTGATATTCTCTCTTCCATCTTTCATGTTCTGTTGGTGACATTCGTGTCTGTAGTTCTTGTTCGTTTGCCTAGATTTTCCGTTTCCAGAATTTCCCGTTTGTGATTTCTTTATTGCTTCCTTTTCCATTTTCAGATCTTGATGAGTTTTATTTGTTTCCTTCAACAGCTTTTTTTTTACTTTCTTTAAGGGATTTATTAATTTCCTCCAATTTTTTGTTTGCTTTTCCCTCAATTTCTTTTAGTGATTTACTCATTTCTTCCTTAAGGGCCTCTATCATCTTTATAAAGCTGTTTTTAAGGTTTTCTGTGCTTCAGCTATGTCGGACTATTCAGGACTTGCTATAGTAGGATAGCTGGTTCTGGTGGTGACATAATGCCTGGCTGTGTGTTTTTACACTGTCGAAGCATCTGGGTGGGTTAGGGTAATTGTAGGTCTAGGTGCCGATTTCTGGATGGGTGCTTTTACTCTCCGTTTCTGTTTCCTCTCTGGTATTCTGGCTGGAGTGGCTCCATTCTGTCAATTCATTCAGCTAATATATATATATATATATATATTATATATATATATATATATATATAAAGTATATGTACTACATCCCAGGCATTACTCTAACCTAGTGGTTTTCAACATGTGGGTTATATATCATATCAGATATCCTGCATATCAGATATTTACATTGCAATTCACAACAGTAGCAAAGTTACAGTTAATAATTGCAACAAAATAATTTTATAGTTGGGAGTCGCAGTAACATGAGAAGCTGTATTAAAGGGTTGAAGCATTGGGAAGCTTAAGAACTGTTGCAGTCTAACCCAAACTAACAGAATCGCTATCCATTTCTCCTTCCACGACTCCAGGATCCCTCAGATCCCTCAGACTGGAGAGGCTGGACTGAGTAGTCAGA